TTTAGAAAAAACTTCCCTCAATACAAATGTAATAGTTTTAATTGAATGCACTTTTCTTTTATAAAAGATGTTTACATAATACATTCAGCCGAATATTTTAATTTGTATATTAGAATGTTTATAAGCATTTAGGTATTCTTTGTAATACTTCCATTTTATATAAGTTGTATATATATATATATATAAATATAAATATATATATATATATATATATTGTACAAATATTACTGCATATACAATAATGACTTTTGTAGAAATGTTGTCTAGAAAACAGTAATCTGACCATGTAATTTGTGGTTACAAAATATAGTTTTGAAATCAACAAACTTTATAATTTTTGGTAGACACTGCAACTGTGAATACCATTTGCAAAAGATATGTATATTAATAAAACAACACTAACGTATCCACCTGCCTATGCAGGGGTATTACTTTCAGAGTACTTATTTTAGTTCTACTCGAATAGTACTACTGAAAATACAAAACTTCGTGAGCATCATAATGTATAAATTGAGCGACTGAAAAGCAATATTACTTACATAATGAAACATAAGGATAATCATTTGTACGATTAATTCATATTATGAAAACCTCATGTTGATTGAATGAATATTTTTCCTGATTCGAGGTTTTTTATTGCAACCAATTCCTCTACATTAATAATTGTTTTTAGAATACAATTATAACGTATCTTTCCATAAAACTATCTATTTAAAAATTATAATGGCTGTGGTTTACCAACGTTTTAACTACCAAAAGTAAATTGTTTAACATTCAGTAAAGTGTATACATGAAATATATTTAAAAAATGTTGTTAAATAATTTACTATTTCCGGCAAAACGTTGGGAAACACAAAGTAGTATTACTGTATATTTTTAAGATTATTCTTTGTGAAAATTTGTAACTTTGTTATTTATGTCTCTTTTTAATTTATTGTATAAAATCATATTGTATTAATAAATTTTTTGTTATCAGTTCCATGTATTCCTCATATTTTGTTTATGATCTAATAATAATTCTATATAGTTTCAAATTTTTCTTAAATATTACAAATATTCTTAATAAAAAAATAAGAATTATAATAGAAAGCTATTATTAACCTTGTCAAGGACGAATTTTTTTATAGATACAGACAAAGATGATTTTAATTTCCGGTTGACTGCAGTTTATTTTATTCAAACTGAGACGAATTGAACAATGGAAAAACAATAGAAAAACGTACAAAAAAAATAGCAAACGCCTTTTTGATAAACTTTAATAATTAAATTATATATATGTCCCAGTATACAGGTGTAATATGCCAGTATTGAAGAGGTTAATAACATACATAGTTATGCCAGTCACTATCATCGTTATCTTATATGCAAAAAGATAATATATGATCCTTCCATATCGTTTGTACCTATTAAGTGTACAAATTGCGTTTTATAATGACAAGTAAAGGTTCAACCGATATTTTGCATTCCGTAGAAAACGGAATTCTAAAAATCGTATTAAATCGGCCACACAAGAAAAACTCTATAAATGTTTCTGTAAGTATATAATAAAAATTATATAAAGTTTTATAAAATTTTGAGATTGAAGTGTATAAAATATTCAACGTCTTAAACATGTAGATACAAGAATATTTTGCATACAACATTTTTAGTACGGAAGTAATCATTTTAATATTAAATGTAGAATACTAAATATGTTAAAAAAAATAATGTATCTTTGCCTTACAGATGTATAAAACATTATCACAACTCTTACATGGATCTATTCAAGATAATGACATACATACAGTTGTTTTAACTGGAAGTAAAAACTTTTTTAGTAGTGGAAATGATTTTCTATCATTTATACGGGATAAAGAGGGTAACTCTATGGACATGGAAAGTGCACTCCCTATTTATAAGTAAATATTTATAAAGTAAATTGAGATTATGTAGTACTGCATTTTAAACTTAAACTGAATTAATTTTTCAGGAAGTATGTGGAAGATTTAATTACATACCCTAAACTTTTAATAGCTATTGTAAACGGTCCTGCAATTGGAATTGCAGTAACTACATTACCATTATTTGATATGGTATATGCTTCAGATAAAGTAATTATTATTTATGACTATATAAAATTCTAAACTGAATCAACAATATGACATTATTTTCGTATTGTTGCAGGCATATTTTTACACACCATTCACTAAATTAGGTATTGTTGCAGAAGGATGTTCTACATACACATTCCCAAAAATATTGAAACACTCTAAGGTATGTGAAACATTATTAGATGCTATTAATTTATAATTATTTTACACATTTTTAGGCTGGTGATATGTTGTATTTAGGATATAAGATGAATGCTTTTGAAGCTAAAGAATATGGTTTAGTTAGTCATGTATATAAACATGAACACTTGAATGATGTTTGGACATACTTGAAAAAAATATCTGCACTTTCAATAGAGGTATTTTTCTTTTACATTTGTTTCATCTATAACATTAATGAAGATTTCTAAAAATATACAATATACTTTTTTAGTCAATATTTGCCATTAAACGTCTAGTTAAAAAATGGGATGAGAAAGTCTTACTGGAAGTTCATGAAGAGGAAACAAATGAGTTAATAAAACGTATACAATCTCCTGAATTTATGCAGAGACTTATGGAGACTATGCTTCATAAAAGTAAAATTTAAAGTAAAATAATTCATTATGTAATTATATTCATATACTTCAGTAAAAAAAAATACAAATGTTTTTATACATTTTTAAAAAAAATCTCGTTTTTGTACTATAAATAAATAATAATTAACATATGTCGTTTAAAGTAGAATTTTTGAACAAAAATGTTATATTATCCGATACTTCCGATAACAGAAGTTCCTACAACAATAGCGAAACAGATTATTAGAACCTGTTAGATATATTGTATAATATCATATATATCTCACCTGCATTATTTTATCTGGAATTGGTTGTTGATAATGTTCCCACTCTAAAAGTTGATTTATTGCCAAATTTTGTTGTGCTACCTTATCCTCTAGAACTAGCTGATGTTCACGTGAATTTTCGTTATCGCATTTTTCTGATCTTTTTTCTACCTCCTTGTAGCCTTTGCAAGGACATTTAATTAAATCATGCGTTAAACAATTCGTATTTGATGCTAACGTAAACAGATCCTAAAAATATGATAATTGTTGTTATGGAAAATTACGATGTTCTTGTATTTAAGAAGAATATAGAAAAATCCAGACTTTTAATTCACTCATGGATAATTTCAGAGAGGCAAAGTTATTTAAATCCACTACAGTTTCGCTTAAGCTTGCTTTACTAATTTGCCTTTGAAAGATTTTTTCTTCAATTGTCCCTGTTGTTAGTAAACTACAAATTTTTTTTTATTATAAAAACAAAGTATATTAGTATTTCATATAAGTGTAAGATGCTCGTACCGCAATATATAAACATTTTTCTTTTGGCCTTCTCTCCAAATTCTTGCCATGGCTTGAGCATCAGATGCTGGATTCCAATCTGAATCAAACAGTACAAGTCTTGATGCACCAGGAAGATTTAAACCAACTCCGCCAGCTTTTGCACTTAATAGAAATACCTCTGCAATAATTACATTAGAATTTACAATATTCTGAGTTTCATTAAGTACTCTATTATCTATACTAACTGCTTTCATGAGTTTCTGAATTGAATTGTTGAATAATTTTTGACCTGGAGTTGCTTGCTGTACTTCCATCTAATCTAAGAAAATGTAAGTTTTCACTGTTGCAAACAGTTTCTAATAAATCAAGTGTTTGTGTATAATAAGATACTAGTACTAATTTTTCCTTAGTTTCCTTCAAATTTTTCATTAAACTTTGCACAACTGATATTTTTCCGGAATAAGCTTTCTTTAAAATATTGTCATACCCTTTTTTATAATCATTTCGTTTTACATTTGTGAGATCATTCAATAGCAAATCATTTTTTTCACTGTAAAATAAATCGGGATGATTACAAATTTTTTTCAACATTGTTATTATTGTCAAATGAGGCATTGTGCTGATTGGTAATCCACTTTTATCAAACCAAGCATCCGTGACGCGTACATATAAATTTTCCTGTTCATCTGATAGACGACAAAATACAACCAACTCGTGTTTAGATGGCAAATACTTATTAATCGTATCCTGCGTGCGTCTTAAAATGAAACATTTTGTTTTATCATGTAATTCGCCAGCTCTTTCTGTGCCCAGAGATAGAACACTCTTGGTTGCATTTGGACATTGTGATGCTACTATTGGGTTTTCATAATACTGTTTGAATTCATAATGATTACCCAGTACACCCGGATTCACAAAGTCGATTAATGCGAAAAATTCTTGTAAATCGTTTTGTATAGGAGTCCCACTCAAGAGGATTCTCTTCTTACAACTTATATTATTTAAGATCTAAAACATAAATACTCTTTTCAGAATAAGTCGTTCCTTTTTTAGTTCAGTTTTATATTAAATTATAAATACAATTAATAATAGTACCTTTGCTGCTTTTATATCACTATTTTTTAATCTATGACCCTCATCACATACAATTAAGTCAAAAGATATTTGCTCAATTTCTGTTTCACACCTAATAAGCATATCGTAGCTAATGATCATTACTGAATTTCTTGATTGTTTTCTAAAGTCTTTTGGCTTATTTTTAGCATTTACAATATAAGGAAAAATTCTGTGGAAACCCAGCCAATGACTAAATTCTTTGTTCCAATTGTTACACAAGCTACTAGGAGTTACAATTAATACATATTTTAAGATTGGCTTTCCATATGGTCCCTTTTTCAACAGTGTCCAAATAATAGTAATGCACTGTAATGTTTTACCAAGGCCCATTTCATCAGCTAAAATTGCACCAAAGTAATTGGGTAATTTTAAGCCCATTATGCATTCATAAAGAAACACAACACCATAACGTTGATGTGGCCTAAGGGCATTTGCTAAACATGCATCTACAGATACTTCCACTTCTTTTTCTGATGTATCATTTTCTGACCAATTTTTTGAGGTATATATAGAAGGCATTACCAGAGGCTTGGATGTTAATTGCAGACCTTCAATATAATGTAAACATTAATGTTTTTCATATTTTATTGGCTTCAGTTTCAAAATGAAGCTATAATGAACCTTTTTTTAAAGAAGCAAGGGGAACATATGGGCCAGATTGTAAAGTTTTTAGTTTTTTCATGGGTGGTTCTGATGGAACTGTTTCTGCAACTGATTTCTTTGGTAACAACTGGCTGTTTGTTACTTTATCAACTATCTGTAAACAAATATATATTAATCTTTGATATAAGTCACACATGTATACAAATTATATATCTTTACCTCAACTTCCTTATTCTCTATGTACAATCTAAAACCTTCTACAATGATTTCTGGCTTGACCGTGGTTCTATGAATAATATTACCCTCTGAATCCTATTAAAGTTTCTAATTATTTAATTGGGTATGAGATTAAACGTGTTAACTTTGTACAGATTACCTTCAAAATACCACATTTTCCGGTGATTTCTAATATACCATCATCTTCCCATTTTTTGTGTTTTCTCGTAGATTTTTTAGCCATTACTACATTGTAAATACTGAAAACGAAGGAATTATTAGTATGAAACCCATTTAAATCAAAATATTGTTAAGTGAAACTTTTCCATTCATACGTTTTATTATTGTTAATGACGCTGGATAAGTTTTCTTGGGTATCAATTGCGGGCTCTTCATTCGATTTAATCGGTTTGCTTTCCTTAGATACTGGTTTGTCATCTTTTTCAATAGGTTTCTTGAATAAATTAAGAATACTTGTAGTACTTCTACGCGAACTTTGATTTAAAGTTTCAAATGTTTTACTATCATTTTCTGAACTTTCCTTGGATCCGCTGCTTGTCGATTGTTGTTGACACTTTATAACAGATTTAAAACCTTTAACTTGACTGTTTCGATACATAATAAATGTGTAAACACCACTGTTAAATACAACGCATTATTAAACCGGAGGACTTTACCACAGAATTCAATTTCAACATTCTGCGCCTGCGCTGCCTATTTTACCCGCCAAAAACATGCGACGTTTCCCCCCCTTTTCTCATTATATCACCAGAGAAACTAGAACCATAGACCTATTATTTGTAGACGTTTCATGCGATGTAATTTTTTGTTTATGGTTTCAAAATATCTTAATCACAGTGATTAATACAAATTTTTGTGATAATAAAACACCATTTTTGTGATAAACACGAAAATTAGCATTTTCTATTGTCACAATCGTTTACCAGCAGTAGCATATAAAAGAAACGTTGAGTATGTAAAGTGTCTTGTATATAACTTGATATTCTATGGTGTTAACACTAAGGTAAAGTCCTCTAGTAAACTTATAACAGATGAAAAAGAAATTAGAAATTACTAGAAATATTGTCGTGGTAACAATACGAACAGTTGAAGGGCAGTGTACGTTTCCTATGCATTTGATTCATGGGCATGCGTAATCTTGTATTTGCAAAAATTCAGAGTGGAGACAATTGCTTTGGCGTGAATACATATCGTTGAATTGTTAGATTTGTTGGGAGAAAATGGTTCGAAATATTTATAGAGCTTCCAAGTAAAGTATTTAAGGTGACGTTGATCACTACGGTGAATCTATAAATGAATAAATGGGAGAGTAATTACGAATTCTTTCTTTTTCAGACAGTACCTGTCATAGATGAGAAAACTAGACTGACGAAGTCGAAAATACATTTTTGACAACGAAATAGGAAAAGGATGTTTTGCCTACAGTGGTTGATCCCGGTGTTGCTAATACCAAAGCCAGTAAATCCAACGTTACTGCAAACGCATTTCATGTTTGTGACACTTTATTTAATTGGATTCTTCCTAGAACGAAAACCATGTGCTATTTGTAGTTTAGTGTTTCTCACAGCAGTTTTCTTAATTTGTTACAGCGGTTTAGGTAATTGTCTCCTTTGGAGCACAAATTGTAATACAGTGAGATGCGATAATAGTTAAGGTTATTGGAATAATTAATTCTAGGTTCATCAATTGTCATTACTTTCATATTTCTTTTAGAAGAGTACAGAAAAACTGATTATTTTACAACATAACCCAGTAAGAAATTAAAATATATATGTACATGTATATGCATACACATATTTTGGCATCATGTGTGTGTATATATTTATATATATAACACATACACTTTTTTTATGGTTTTCATTGTAGTTTTTATTAGCTTATAATTGAAACATATATGTATATGTATATGTATATGTATATATATATATATATATATGTTCATGTATGTTTACATGTTTCTATGTGTACATATATATACATTTGTAGATGTATTTATACATATGGAACACGAAAAGATGTAAAACTAATAGGCCATAACAAATTTTACACAAAACTGAGAAATTTTTGCGTAAAATTGTGACAATTCATAATTATGAAGTGGTTGAAGTATACAATCTTTGTACATATAATTAAATTCGAGTCTAATTAGTTTAATTGTATTAACTATGTTGCTATGTATATAAAACATGTAGACTCTTTTGTAAACTGTGTACTTTACAAGTCAAGATTTCCATTGCTTTTCATCGTATTTAAATAAATTTTCATTTGGAAGGTTTATCATAAACCGCATTTAGAGTTAACACATTAAACTTTTCCTAGGAACTTTATAGTATAGTAATACATCTTGCATATATTTGTTGATTATTGATACGATTCAAATATAACCAGTAATTTTCCAAATGAAATACATGAAAAATTGTAATATCAAAGTACACATGTGTAAGAGGAATGAATTAAACTACTATGCATAGATTAAATAGAATAAACAATAGAGATGAGTATTGTGCTAAGGCATTAATTCTACATATTCTAATATGTGTTACATGAAAAATACTTAGTATATGTAGAACTTGTAAATGGTCTGATTTCATTTGTTCATAAAATGAATACATTCAGTATAAAAAAATAACGAACATCGAAATGTAACTTATCATTGTCTTTTATTAGAACAATTGATAAATTTTAAAGTACGAAGTTAACAAGTTTCATATCTTTTTGATAATTGCAATAAAGAAGCCTATATAATACTGTTAATAAACAAAATCTTCTATTTTAAAGCAAGCAATCAAGAAGGAAGTTTAACTATCCTTTTTTAATAAGACAAAGGAATTTCTTCTTCTTTATTTACTGCTTTCGCTTTAGCACAAATATGTATCTGTGATGCTTCCAGTTCCATGCATTCATTTTATCAGAAATGCTTTAATTTATCTACAGAAAAGTTAATATATACATCTCAGAATTGTAAACATTAATTGCCTACCCATTTGCTTCCACTTATAGTTTTACATTTAAAATGATTGTACAATTTGTAAGTAAAAATGTACACTTTTCTAATGTAACAGAAAATAAATGAGAAAATTCACTTTCATGATTAATTTTCTTGTGACTTATTAGTGTAATAAGGATGTCTGAAATAATAATACTGTATACTTATGAAAGATTTATTTATTTTACATTAAAATATTATTGTGGTTTGCCACGACCGAAACCACCACGGAATTCAACATCACCTGTGCCTGCACCTACATCAGCCTTTTTGTCACCAGGTCCACCTGGACCTCCAGGTCCTCTTCTATAACCAGCACGATCTTCTGTTGGCCTAGATGCTTCACTTCGTGTGGCTGCTGCTGGTCGTGGCCTGGATGCTTCTGCCCTAGCTTGCCTCTTCAATGTGGAAGGTACAATCTCAGGAGGTAGATGCAAATAACCACGTAGATATTCGATGCCTTCATTTGTCAGATACCAGTAGAAATGTCTCCAAGCAAACTGTTCTTTGACATATCCTCTGGACTTTAGGGACTATAAACATAAGTTCAAAAGACATCAGTTACATTTAAATTACCAAATAACAATGAATTATTAAACTGAATTTGATATTAAATATTACCTGCATTGCTTTAATAACTTGGAGATTTGGAATGGGTTCCAGTTCTGGGTGTTTTGGTGCATGATAATCCTTTTTCGCTACCATAACACCTTCCTTAAAAAGGTATTCAAAAATTGCTACACGGTTCTTTTTTGGCATCAACATCCTGAAAATAATGAAGTAATGTTTTAAAGACTGACATTGCCACCCATCAACACATATTTACTTAGAATTATTTAAACAAGAAAGTAGAAGGTTTATCTATTGAATATCAATTCCTCTTGTGCTTTTTTTGTAAGCTTATTTATTATTTATTTATATAAAATTGAAATATGTGTACTCTTGTACAGTGAGACTTAACCATGTTTAGAGAGGTTATACAAAACATTTGATTTCTTACAGAAAACATTATGATACTTTCGTTATGTCACTGAATATAATACCCTAATTTTCAATTATGAAATAAAATGTTTGGGCAGACTAAATTCCAACTTTTTATTAATAATTCATGAAAGATGGAAACATTCTATTTCATTTCATAACCATTACGTTGGTTAGGTACAAATAGTAATATTTAAAACGGATTACAATGAAAAGATACCTATCATATAGAAATTCTTTAATGTCTCAAACATTAAAAAATTTAACAAACCTCCTATTTTCTTACAATATTTATATATGACTAGGATTAAAACAGATATTATAAGAAGCCTGACATACTTGACGTTTTAGCGCGAGCCTGTTGTCGGAAAGAAATTTACTCGTGCACGATATATCGTATACGTAAATCGATATATCGTTCGAGAGTAACCGGAAGTAGCGAGAGTATGTTTTAGAATAAAATTGTTCATAAACATATTGTAACATTTATTATTATTAAAAACACTGAATAATACATGAAATATGCATATACATATTTCGCATTGTGTGTTCGTATTGTACAGATGTAGTGCATTATAAAAAATATAATTTAAACTTTACAATAGTCTCTTTGACGGTTTAGTAATTTCGAGGAATTTTCGTGTAGGAAAAAAGAATAAAATATGCGTAGTAACTAAATAAAACGTTAAACACATTTAATGTAAGTATATGAAAACCACATGAATACATATAAACATTTTTATTCGATGTAAGAAACAATTTTGCGATACTAAAATTTGTAGCTGAGTATCTGATCTAGTATTATTCGATATTCAAAAATACCATCTGTTAATTTGGGCGCCGTGGCGCTTATAATATTATAAAACGAAACTTTGCCAATGGGAGAAAATTAAATCAGTTTGAAAGCCAAAAAAGGATTAAATTATGAACCAAATTTAAAAGAATACATGTCGAGTGACTATATATTTACATCTTTTAACTATGAGGTCTGAATCGTCAAGATCCACGTATAATTCTCTAAAAGATTCCATTTTTAAAAAGTTGTATTCTTTAACGTAGATACGTTATACTGATGTAAGCATTAAAAAATATGTCAGCATTAATCATTCGAAATATAGTTGCTGAGTGGGTGTAAAACGTATACGCCTACCTTCGAAGAAAAATGACGCTGCGGTAGTCTAGTCCACGTAAGTATTTTGCAAAATTCAGCAACGCTGGCGAAAAGTTGATGGTAAATAGTTAAATCTATGTTTTACGATTAAATAATTTAATTTCTTTTTTAAGTAACTGTCGGCTAAATCGCTCGAATTATTCAATACTTACGAGGTTTTTGTCCCTGTCAGACTTATCTTATTTATATCTTTTCATTGTCCTCTTTTTTTCAGATGGAGCAACTTTCTTGGAATTGTGTACACAGATGTTTGTAAATACAATTATTTTTTAACTACAAAACATGCCAAGATCTTTGCATGAATATTCTTATACATTTTGGGCTATATTCATAAACATGTTATCTTTTGTATTTACCTATACATACCAGATCAGTTAATTACAATTTATTATACAGCAATTGTATTGTGACAGTGTACATATAATGTTTTCTTTTAATTACCAAAAAGTTATAAAATATTGATGCATTATCTTTCAAAAATGCATTTTTCTATACCAGATACTGAAGAGTTTATTGATACAGCTGGTAATACGTATGTGGTAATTATTTTTTTCCTATCATATGCATATTAGAATATATGTTGATATGTATTTAATGTATTTCAATTTTCAGGGATATAATATTCATATAAATGGATTATTTCATTGTACAGTCAGGTACAAACAATTACATAATTTTCATGAACAATTGACTAAAGATTTGGACATATCTTTACCATCATTCCCACCAAAAAAATTTTTTCCTTTAACGGCAAATCAGCAAGAGGAACGTCGTTTGTCTTTAGAAAAGTACATTCAGTCAATTGGACAGAATGAGATTATCAATAACTCAGGAATGTTAAATGCATTCTTATTAAATGCTCAACAAGAAACTATAGGTGCATTAGTCAATGATGAGAGTATGGATATTTTCCTAATGAATGGATGTAAAATTATAATAAATGTATCTGCAGGTGATCATAGTGGAATTGTCTTGAAGGTAATAAATATCTAATGAACATTTATTGTAACCGAAATCTGACTTAAATTGTTTTGTTTAACAGAAAGTCTATGAACATCTTAAACTGCCAGAACAATATTATTTCTACTTTGCATTGTTTATTGTTGCTCAGGATGAAAACAATATTGTTTATTGTAAGTACAGTTATTATGTTTAACAATCCTATTTTATATATTAATATTCTGTGTGATTTCTAATCTTTTTAAATCAAATTTCCGTTTTAGTATTACGCAAGTTACAGAATTTTGAATCTCCATTTATTACAAATAATCATATGCATGATATAGATAGTAAAGTTGTACTTGGGAAAAATTACTGGGATCTAGCATATGATCTTGAATTAATGAACAATGCAGTAGCTATGAACTTATTATATATTCAAGCTGTGGCAGAATTTCAAAGAGGATGGATTATAGCCAAAGATGAATTAAATAATCATTTGATTACTTTACAAAATCAGGGAAAGAAAAAGGAAGTAAGTTTTAATATATGTATGTAATGTAAAGCTAAACATTATACCAAACTACTTCTCACAAAGATTAACTGTTTCTTTCCATGTTAATGTATAATCTATGAGGTAATTTATTTTTAATTATTTTTATTGTAGTATTTGGATGTAGTGCGTACTTTAAAGTATTATGGCTACATTCAGTTTGCCCCATGCTTTTGTGATTACCCTAAGTCAGATTCAAAAGTATTAGTTGCTATAGGTAGGAATGAATTAAATTTGCGAATATTATCAGATGAAGAAACATATAGAGAAGAAGTCTTTAAAGTTTCTAAAATGCGTTGTTGGCGAATAACTACTGTACAAAATGTAAGTTATTATAAAAAATGAATGTCTTGAGACTGGCATATCAGCTTGCTGTCTTCATCTGAATTTTAGGGATTTGAGAGATCTGATGACACCGATGATTTTAGTTTGGAATTATCTTTTGAATACTTAATAGCTAAAAATCAATTACAATGGATTACCATTACTTCAGGACAAGCTATTTTAATGTCTGTATGTTTACAAGCTATGATTGATGAATTACTATTAAAACATGCTGGTGGAAGTCGTACTCAGGTTAATAAAACATTATTCTTATTGCTATTACAGTAAAATAGAATTTAATTTTCAAAATGTGATTTATAGGAAGTATCTGGAAAATCATGGACTTACACTATGAGAGATGGCCAAACTATTGTGATGGGATCGAGTTCCGGTGAACAGATTGAAGAAAATAGAAAGGTGCATGTTTTTATTTAAATGTATAGTTTCGTTTATATTCTATTTACGTATACGATAATATTTTTTCAGGGTCAATGCGTGAAACTGTCTTCTAAATCAGAACCAATTATGAAGAAGCTAGCTGACAGATTGTCAGCAGTAAGAATAAAAAGATCTGTGGATGTTGAAGGTAATACGAATAATAAAATTAAAAAGAAATATATATCAGAGTGTGATATGGAAAACAATGCATTTCACATGATTGGTGATGACGACTTATAAACACGATATGCCTTATGTATATATAGCTCTTTAAAACTACTAAACTTCTCAGAAAATCTTTTTATATTTTTGATAAAGCGTAACCATAAATTTGTAAAATTCTCACGGTATCGGAAGAAAGGTAAATTTTTTACTTATGTAACAATGCTGTAACGATTACATTTACTATTTTAATATTTTGTTATTAATTTATTAAAAAGGAAATAATATAAATGGTTAATTAAGTTTAATAAAAATTGAATTGTTTATTGTATTTGTAATTATCATTTATGTAATGTACTTACATCTTATCTGAAAAAATAATGAAAATATATAATGGAAGAGTATAAAGAAAATAAATGAAATCACAGTATATAATATTTTCTTTTATTATTTAAATGAAGTAAGAGGCAGTGTATTCTATTAACGGATGGACACGGAACAAAGCGAACTAAAAGAATCTGCATCCTTGCGATCTCGTTTCACAATATTGGAGATACATGGTAGCATCTGGGTGGTTAAATGTATTCGTGTTTTATCGAATGCTTAAGTTTGCAGGAATAAAATTTATTCGTTTCTGTTACATTATTAACGGATATAAGTTGATGAAATCGCATATCGCAGTGAATGGTGCGCTCTACTTTTCATCAAACAGTAGAAATATTACTTTTTAGATTATAACTTATTTATCTGCTCTTCATATTAACAGTGGAACCCAACGCTATTATTATGATAATATTGTGTATCATGGTAGGGCCATATAAAGACTGGATTTAATAATTAATATTCGAATCTTCTTCGATTGTAATGTGCATATTTTCTATATCAAAAATATGTTGTAATTCTGTATTGTTACTTTCTAAATAAACAGAAAAGTCAGTTCTGGCTATAGCATTTAAGTATTATAAATCTATTTTCGCTACTTTTAAAATAGCCCAACGTCAGCAAAGAATTACTCCACTTATGTTGTAGCATTCTCAACGGTACATGTTGTACATACGTGCGTTACTGTTCCCCTGGTGTAATACAATTAAATAATATTCACTGATATTTTTTATAGAAAGCACAATGATAACGTATTTCCAAATTTCAAATATAAAAACGATTAAAAAACAAAAAAAAGAATGCGTTTCAATAAAATACACATTTATACGAGTCTAAAAATATTATAAATCTTGCCATTGCTTTATGATGATTACTCCCAACAAATTCAATACTGACTTAACGAATTAGTGAAATATTGAAGTACATTCTAATACGGAAGACTAACTTTAGTAAGTTCATTCGTCATATATGCTTGACTCCGAAATGCTCTCACTTTTATTTGTAATCTTGCATGGTAAAAAACACTACCAAACAACTCGCAACTTCTTACAAAATCTTGATACTAATTCAACCGACATAAGAACGTATATTTCGTAACCTAATGTTAATATCTGTAGGTAAACGCGCAATAATATCTATGGCAGTAAAAAAAGGAGTAAAAACTTTAATACCTTCTAAAGCTTGCTTACTTATTGGAAATAATTTCACAAGTAAACGATATGTTAGCGCAAAAGTCTATAAATATATTTTCGGGATGACCTCCGTTCCTTGTATTTCGTAATAGGTAATAATATTTGTTGATGTAATATTATGGATAAAATAAATGGCATAATAGGTGACTAGCGTAAGACAAAACCAAATATCAATTGTATGTCGGCACCTCTACTATTTTTGTCAACAACGAAGGAAAAGGAAAACAAAATGCAAGCACGGCATGCGATCTTTTTTTCGTTCTCGTTGCATTCGATTTCTCTTTTCTTTAGTTTTTGTTTTGTGAAGAATGTTGATGGGATTCCATAATATTTCTGTAAGAATACCATATTTCACAGTATACGGATAAACGTAATCGTAAAAAAATTAAGTATAATGATCATTCACCTAAATCATGTAAAATAATTTACATTGATGACGTGAGGCTATTGGCTAGTATTAGTTACTCGTATCTGATTCACAAAGAGGAAGACATTGACTTCGTAAGAGAGGAAAATACTTTAAATCGCTATTATTCTTTTCGTTAGGTAAACATTTAATTAGGCAATGTACTTCTCTTTGATGAAAGTCAGGACGAGATGAATAAAATCTATTCATTTATACAACTGTACACCCTTTATCTATCGTCATCACACTTATCCGCGTAGAAAAAGTAACCAAACTGTTAGAAGTTTTGTTGACGTTTCCGTTTGGTATCCATAGCATCAAGGATCGGCTGTCTCTTCGTTTGATACCTTCTTCTTAACTCGTCAATTTCCCGCTCCATTTCTGCGTCCAAATTAGCCATTCGTTGCTGTAGTTCCTCGTATGAGAGAAACTTCAGCTGCAGGAGATGGTTGTTTATCTATATTCAAGTTTCTTTTATATGATGCCTAATGTGGCATTACGTCAATCGAATTTAAGTTAAAAGAGAAGCGTACGGATAATAGGAACCAATTTCAATTATCTTTATATATTATTCTGTATAGAAATTTGTAGAGATTCGTTACTTACGAAATCGAAATCACGTTCCGTGAAGACATTTTGAAACTTAGATATGTTATTATGCGGTTGTTCTTGCACGGGATGGGAAATCTGGTTAAGCTGTAGTTGTAGGTGACTTTGAAACCTTTGAGATTCTGAAGGACTTCGTAATTCTAGTTTACTTTCATTATCTGGATTATGTGCTCCAAGAATTTGTCCATTACCCTGTTAATTAAAAAGCAAAACATGTTTTAGTATTCATCAAACATCAATGGTAGACGTATATACATTGATTACACTGATTGTACCTTTCCTATTTCAGGTGCTTCTTTTTTATCAAAATGATCTAAAAATAATGGCCGATACTTTTTACCGGATTCAACTGACCCTGTATTATGACCTGTAAGGAAATTAAATTGCCCACTATTCGTTTCAGCTATTTACTAACATTCGCAGGAAAGACGGCCGATGGAAATAATGCGGGTCCGAGTGGTCGGAGTCGAAAGAGATTAACCTATTGTATCGCGCGGATTTACGACTCTAACGAGCAATTTACCGAGAAGGCCACATATATCGAATCCGCTCCGTCTTTCCTACAATCGAAAGTACATGTTTGAGAAATGTTAATATTACTAACGTTTCATAGTTGCTTCAGTATCCGTATCGCTATTAATAACCATTGTTCCCAAGTCTAACATTGCAGAAACAAGCGTTCCCGTATCTGGAAGATCATGACTTGGTACTAAAGTTCCTGTATCCTCTGGTAAAGGTTTCATTGTCCCGCTACAGTCTTCTTCATCCTAATGGTAAATAGAGAATTTTCATTACCGAATAATTGTACATATTTCGTGGTACTTCTAGTATATATAAACTTTGACGATTACCGAGTCTTCAGTCTGATTTTGGTTCTTTATTGCAACATTATTAATAACGTGAGCACGATGTGCGCTTTGCTTTTCTCGTATTTCATGAGCTTCTGCAATCATCTGACTTAGAATACTGGGCTGTTTGGCATTACCTGGAATAAGATATTGAACGACGTGAAGCAAAAGACATAATGTACATCGACATAAATATTTAACTAAAATTTACCTATAAATTCGTGATTCAAAAGCTCAGTAGCAGTAGATCTTTCTTCTGGATTTTTAACAAGGCACCCACTGACAAAATCGATAAATTCAGGACTCCACTGGTCTGGTTCTCTAAAGCTAGGCGGAGGTTTAGTTGGAATCATAAATATTGCTCTCATTGGATGTATATCACCATACGGTGGTTTTCCCTCTGCCATTTCTAATGCAGTTATACCAAGGGACCATATGTCTGCGACACAATCGTATCCAATTTCTTGAATAACTTCTGGAGCCATCCAGAATGGAGTCCCTATCACTGTATTACGTTTCGCCATTGTATCCTAAAAAGAATCACTTAGAATTATTTTCTTGTCCATTGAGAAATCATGGCTGAGGCAATTGGGCTCACAGTTAACTGTCCAGCTACACCAAAATCCGCTAGTTTTGCATGCCCTTCATTATTAAGCAAGATATTTCCTGCTTTAATATCTCTATGTATCTTTCTTCTTAAATGAAGATACTCTAAACCCTTCAAGGTATCACTGAGAATTGTTGCTATTTCATCTTCTTGCAAAGTTTTCTTCCGTAACCTCATAATATCGCTAACAGATCCAGCTCCACAATATTCCATTACAATCTGTAAAATTGTACCTTCATGAATGCAATTAAATATTAGATCAAACCATCTGTTGTCATAACAATCCATTAAATTACCCATAAATCAGTGTTCTTAAAGTAGCTTCCATAATATTTAACCACATATGGGGAATCACACTGTTGCATGATAGAAATTTCTTTTATAATTTCTTGCAAGTCCGTATCGACAGGTACTTGTTTGATGGCAAGTACCTGTCCACTTTCTTTATGCAATGCTTTGTAAACCGATCCATAGGATCTATACATAAAACAATCTCATTCAACGATTATCAATATTGATTCTTGATAAACAAAATAACTTACCCCTCTCCTAACTTGCATATTATGTCAAATACTTCTTCTGGTTGTCTTGTTAAGCTTTCCTCTGACAACTTTTTTAATTCACTAAAAATAGATTATGTGAAATTTTCAACTGAACACAATACAACAGTTCTTATCTTTTAATACCTATATGTATGTACGGTAACATAAAAAAGAAACAAGTATTTAAACTAAATTTACAAGAGTGTGTACTGCAAAATGAACTTCTATAGGAACTTTTATATTACATAGTCATGTTGTTATTTGCATTAGCATATAGAAGCAAGTATACTAAACAATTGACTCTGTTCTTTGACTCTTGATCACTGTAAATAAAATTCAGAGAATTCCCACGGCTAGAGGGTTTTCAAAATCGTCGAAAGGAGCAAAGATAACAAAAAAATTTAATAAATAATTCGACGAAATTGACAATGCAGGTTAACAAAGAAACAAAGAATCAATACAGTGCAATTGTTCCATCCAATAAGAAAAACGTGCTACGAATCATGAGGCCGACTCCTTCTAGCTACAAATAACTTCCATCAGTGAGTTGGCGAAGATCTGCCAGTTTAAAAAACACGAAGTAAAAACAATTAAATACCTCTTCGAAGACATTTTCGCTTTCTCGCGTGAACGAGGTTCTTACTTGAATAAAAACACCTTCAATATTTACACAAATAACTTAACTTGGATAAAACAGATATCATTCCGGTTGCGAAAACATGGTCAATTTAAAATAGAAGTGTTACATTTTTGTCAATAAATTAAAGTAACCACACAACTGAAATATCGAAAAGCATCGACCATTCGTTGTTATAGATGGCGAAGCTAAGAACGAATTCCTCTCGAACGGGTGAATCGCCATGCGCGTGAAAAAAAGGGCCGTTCGAATGTTCGTACACGATAAATAAAATACGTATAAATTGTTGCTTCCAGAAACAAATACGATTTCTTATTTCTCGCGAACGAATTTTAAGTAATTCGTTCGCGAGAAATTCAAACGTACTCGTACATGGATTCGATAAAAAAGAAATACGTTACGTCAATCGACCAATCAAGTCGCTACTGCGCAGTTTACGGTACACAGACTTCCGGATCTTGGAAACTGCGCTTTAAGTGTGAGATTACAAAATCATTCAAATGGTACACAGCTGAAAATAATTCGTTTATAAACTGCTGATTCCGAAGACGTTCCACGAGGTACGCATAACTCTGTATCTTTATCGCTGCTAGTGGGACGAAGGTATCAAGACAAATTCTATCTTCTCGGTAGTCATTCTTACGAGAAACAGAACCAAAGTGTAATCCTCTCTTCCGCCGAAATTCAGTGAACAACGAACCAAAAATACCACGCAGTGCACGAATAAACTGTCAGAGTGTTCAGACGTCTCGAGGAAGCTTGAAAATATCGGACTGTGGTTGCTGCTCGTTACGTAAGAAAAACTGTGAAAAATGATTAATTTCGAAATACTGGTTAGCACGTTAGGGATCGTTTCAACGTTCTAATCTCGAGACGTGGTTGTTTCCCATCGTTCGAAATAGAACGGGCCGACATTCATTTGTATTTTCATTGTTCCCGTGTGTTCGATTGCCTCGTCGAAAAGAAGAAACGTGAGGAACGCGAACAGGTTTGGATCGAGGTACTGTCCGATGATCGAATCTACCGCCGCTCTACTTCGGTGCAAAGTAGATCTCTCAGATGTCGTTGGGGTCAGGCAGAGGCTGAAGACACGAGAGTTTCTAGGCGCTATACGTAATCGCGTGTCCACGCACGGTGAACGCTAGCACTCGTTTGCTAGACGGCCGGCTAGCAAAACGAGTCGATTTCTCCTGGTGCGCGATATCGCGGTGGGAACGGTGGAGGAGAGACGTTGCTCGTCGAGGGACCGTAGGGCATACATCGTCGAGGGCCAAGGGCAACGGAACGGAACGGGTGTCCCTGGTGAATCTGAAACGACGGCGAACGGAGCGGCGACGACGGCGGCGGCGGCATTGTCCTGCTTGTTTTGTTGTCTCGCGTGAAACGCACAGGTGGAACAGAGAAGAAGCTATATCGCGTTTGTCGAGGGAACCGAGAGAGGAGTGACGGAGGCGAGCGAGAGACGGTGTGTGTACGACTAGAGAAGAGGACTGGTTATTCCGTCGTGTGGAGGAACGCGCTGGCATAGGTGTACATACCCGTAAAAGAAGACAACTCGAGGAAACGGCGGAGAAGATCGTAAAAGGTAGAAAGAAGGAAAGAAGAGAGAAAAGAAGACAGATATATACAT